GGGCGCGGCCGGCGCGCTCACCTACCCGTGGCGGGACGCGGAGACGCGGGAGTGGCTGCTGTGCAGCCAGTGCCCCCCAGGCACCTTCGTGCGGCGGCCCTGCGGCCGGGACACCCCCACGATGTGCGGGGCGTGCCCTCCACGTCACTACACCCAGTTCTGGAACTACCTGGAGCGCTGTCGCTATTGCAACGTCATCTGCGGGGAGCGCGAGGAGGAGGCGCGGCCCTGCGAGGCCACCCACAACCGCGCCTGCCGCTGCCGCCCCGGCTTCTTCGCGCACGCCGGCTTCTGCCTGGAGCACGCCCCTTGCCCGCCCGGCACCGGCGTGGCCGTCCCCGGTGGGCCGGGGGTCGGGGTGGGCGGCGGGGCCGGTGGCTAGGGCCTGGGACGTCGGCCGCCACTGGGGACAGCACCCAGCTCCCCCTGACCCCTTCCTCCCCGTGTCGTCCCCAGGCACCCCCAGCCGGAACACGCAGTGCCAGCCGTGTCCCCCCGGCACCTTCTCGGCCAGCAGCTCCAGCTCCGAGCAGTGCCAGGCCCACCGCAACTGCACGGCCCTGGGCCTGGTCCTCAACGTGCCGGGCTCCTCCTCCCACGATGCCCTGTGCACGAGCTGCACGGGCTTCCCGCTCAGCACCGCGGCGCCAGGGGGGCCAGGTGAGTGGGGGGAAGGGGCCAGGGGAGCGGGGCGAGCGCAGCCCTGGAGCACGGAACATGTAGCTGGCCTCTGCGGTGGCACCAGTGATCGCTCTGTGGTTTCGGCGCTGGCAGGTGGTGCTCTCCTCCCCCCCGGGGGAAACGGAGTCCCAGGGAGTCTAAACCGCTTTCTGGAGGTCCCACGGCAGTGACGTGGCATCTCACCCCTGCACCCCGGGGCCCCTGGCCTCTCCCAGCCCCGTGCCTGTCCCCCAGCACTCCCGCACCTCCTTGCTGGCCTGGCCTTCCACCTCTGCCCTGAACCCACGGGGCAGGGACTGCTCTCCTGGGTGTCCCCCTGGGGCAGACGGAAGCCTCTATCGCTGCACCCTGACCCTCCCGCAGGGGCTGAGGAGTGCGAGCGCGCCGTCATTGACTTCGTGGCTTTCCAGGACATATCCTCCAAGAGGCTCCTGCGGCTGTGGCAGGCCTTGGCGGGCCCAGAGGCCCAAGGTCTGGTGGCGCCGAGGGAGGGCCGCGCGGACCTGCAGCGCAAGCTGCGGCAGCTGCTCGCGGAGCTCCGGGGCGCACAGGCTGGGGCGCTGGGGGCGCGGCTGCTGGGGGCGCTGCGGGAGGCCAGGCTGCCTGGGCTGGAGCGCAGTGTCCGCACACGCTTCTGGGTGCACTGAGCGCCCTGCCCCCCGTTTTTTCTGCTCCCAGCTTTGGCCCCACATGGGCGTCACCCCCATAGCACCAAAGTAACCTCAACTGACCGACTAGGCTCCTGTTGCACTAACAAAAGTTTATTTTTTATAAAGCCGTTTTGTAAAATGGGTTGTGTGAAACCGTGTGTATCTCCGGAGTGCACGGTGGGCACATCCGGTGGGGACACCCTCCCCGGTGGGCCCTCAAGCTCCCCACGCTTCCTCTGCCTGGTCACCCCAAGTGGGACAGACCCTCGATGGGAGAGATCGTTAGAGACGCCAGCGGGTAGCAGGTGCGTCCCTTCCAGCTGTGGACACCACGGACGTCCCTGAGGCTCGCTCCATGACCCCTAGATCACGCTCTGTGGCTACGACAGTGTGGAGGGAGGGTCACACCAAGTCTAGGGGCTCTTGCTGCGGAACAGGACCCAGCTCGGACCGGGCAGCAGAGGCCTGTGCCCTGCACCGCCAGGAGACCCTGCTCCCTCACCCTGCCCCTCCAAGTGAGCCCCACCCAGTCCCAGCACTCAGGGGATTTCCCAGGACTTCCCAGGACCGGAAGGGCCAAGGACCTCCCCCAGGCTGGGTGCGTCCCACCCCTTTTCTGGGAAACAAGGCTTTTCCCCTCAGGCAGACTCAGAGAAGGGCTGGACCGCTCCCGAGCAGCCTGGGGGACTCCCAGCCCGCCCCATGGGCCCTGGAGCCCCATGCGTGATCCCCATGAGTCACCTCACCTGCAGCTGCCTCCCCACCCCCAGCCCTGACTCAGCCTTTCTCAGCAACCCCTCCCAGGGTCCCACCAGGGACCGGACCTCAGACAGGAAGCCACCAGGTGCCCGGCTCTGGCTCAGCCATTCCTGCCGAAGCAGGAAGGCGGTGCCCAGGTAGGTCACAGCTCCAGCCTTGGGGGCCCCTTGTGCCATGGTCACTGTGCCCAGACAGCCAGGAGTCCACGATCCAGGGTCGGGTTCCTGGAGGGGCGATGGCCAGCAGCGACTCGGACCGCCATCCTGGACACACCCCAGCCAGTAGCTGTTGCCAGCTCCAGCGGGGCCATGTCGGGAGGGTCCCCAGAACCAGTCTCACCCGGGGAGGGGGCCCTGTTGCCAGGCACAGGCCCGGAAGCGGGTTTCGAGACAGCTTGTCCCTCCCCCCCAGCTGGGAATGAAGGCCCAGCACAGCACCAACCTGGGCTCCACGGGAACCCCGCCCACCTTCCCAACGCCCCCACCGTGCACCCCCACCCCCAGTGTGGGCAACTGGCTGTCCCAGATCGGCCACAGACACTCAGAGAGGGAGACACTCGCTCCTTCCCCTCCTGCTGGGGATCAAAAGGTGACGTCAGCCCAGTGGACGATCTCCCGTGCCCCATCCTGAGGGCCCAGAACCCAGGGCCCTGCTGGCCTCCAGCAAAGGGGGACGGGTCTCCCTCCCTCAAGAGGACACCAGCCCATCTCCACGGAGACCGAGGACAGTCATGACCCCAAGAGCCTCCCCCATGGGGGGCTGCAGAGAGCAGCTCCAGGGAAGCCCGTGTCCAGACAGGACTCCCTGGGAAAGGCAGGCAGGGCTGCTGAGGCAGCAGCTCCAAAGGGAGACCTCACCCCAGCAGGCCCGGCAGGGGTCTTGTGGGGGCCCTGCTGCCCCGACTCCCCTCAGCAGAAGCCTCCCGATACCTACACTTGTATGGACACAGGGAAAAGTTTGTCTTAAAGAAAAACAAAGCAAATGAAGAACCGAGAGCCAAGCAAACCCAACCCCCGGGACTGGCAGCGGGGAGCTGGCAGGAGCACTCCTCTGGCACTCGGGGATGTCGTGGGCACCCGTGGGCACCAGCCACGCCTACGTGATGTCCCTCTGCCGTGGTGGCCGGTGCACGTTCCGCACGACGCACTTCACCATCCACTCGATGCCCTCGCGCACCCCTTTGCTGTGGAGACAGCAGGCGTGAGGGGGGGCCAGCTGGGGCCCCCAGCCCCCGGGGCAAGAGCCCCACTCACCCCGTGAGGGCCGAGCAGGCCTGGGTCAGGCAGTCGCGCCTGCCGATCTTGGAGGTGCAGTCGCTGAACGCAGTCTTGATGTCAGGGATCGAGAGGCAAGTCTGCGGGAAGGCGAAGCAGTGAGGAGCAGGGTCCCAGGCACTGCAGGAAACGCCCTGGCCCCTGGGGCAGGACACGGTCTTGGTGGTGAGGGGCTGGGCTCAGGGCTTCTCTGCCTAGAGGGCTCCTGCGACGAGTGGTCTCAGAGAGAGGAAAGAGGTAGCACCGACGGTCCACAGGAAGTGAGGGGCAGACCCGACGAAGTGACCTCCAGTGCCTCTGACCCGAGGGCACACGTGCTGCAGAAACAGGCCCCGCAGAGCCTCCACCCCTGCAGACTGCCACGGCGCAGCCACTCACTCCCCCGCAGAGCCCCCCCGCCCCCGAGCAGCCTGCCACGGCGCAGCCACTGCCCAGCTGAAGCAATCCCAAGGGGGGCAGACCGGCCAAGGTTGGAGCGGGCTCCCACCCTGGGATCCCTTTGTGCACTGGGTCTCCCCACCACACCTCTAGCCACGCCAGGGGCAGAAGGACAGGCCACACCTGCCCTCCTGTGGAGAGAAGCCTGCACCTTGGGAGGGCTCTGTGCACCTGGGACACACATGGTTTGGAGTTTCCAGGGCAGGCAGGCACCCTGTCCCCCAACTCCTGGCGATGGGGTACGCTTACTCTGGGGACCACAGGGTGGGGATGCTGGGATGAGAGGCTCACCTCAACGTCCTGCTTGTTGGCCAGCACCAGGATGGGGACACCGTCCAGCGCCTCACTCGTGACCATCTTCTCTGGGGTGCGCAGAAAGACAGCAGTGAGCCCCCTTCACCTGCCTCTGACTGCCGAGGCCTGCCCACCTCTCTACAAGTTTGCACCTCACTCTTGGCCACGGCCCCATCTGCCTGGTGTGCTCCAGACACACTGGACCTGACCATTCCCCAGCCCCTCCCAGCCCTCGCCAGGCTGTACGCACCAAACGCTCGCTTGGACTCTGAAAGCCTCTCCTCATCCGTGGAATCGATGACGTAGATGACGCCGTGGCACTCTGCATAGTACTGGGGAGGGGAAGAAAGGGGGTGCTGGGCCACCCCTCCCCAACTGGAAGGCCCTGCTGGGGTGCCTTTAGGGAGTGGGAAGGTGGGGCGGAGTGGCGATGCAGCTCTAGATTCCTTCAGGGAGGGCCTGCTGACCTTGGGCAGGGGGTGGCCACCACCCTCTGTCCACTTCCCAGGTGCTGTGCCCCCAAACTCCACTTCAGCATCTGCTCCTGAAAACCGCCCATGACTGCTGGCCCAATGGTGGCTGGAGGAGAAGGAGAGGACTTGGGAGCTGGAGCCCAAACCAAGCTGGTCCCCACACAGTTCTGGAAGGGGAGAGAGGACACTAACCAAATCACATGCCAATGTGGACAGCAGGCCTGGTGACTATACCACTGATAAGTCGCAAAGACCACCAAGGGGAGAGGCCGGGCTAAGGACCAGGCCAGCAACATGGAGCTCTGAGGGCTGGACTGGGGCCAGGACAGCGGTCAGCCCTGGGCGTGCACACGGCAATGGTGCCAGAGCCCAGGGCCTGGGGAAGAGTTCTGTGCAGACAAAACTGGAAAGATGCACCAAGTGGGGCCTGTGAGGGGTGGGCCCTGGAGTGTGGGGATGGGGGATGCAGCCACAGATTTGGTGAGTCTGCCATCTACCCCAATCAGAAACGAAGACTGGAAGTGCCCACAGCTGCTAAGCAGACAGCAACATCTTTGCCCCAGCTGTCATGAGAGCCCAGAAACCTGGGACACCCACGTTACACATGACGTGACAAGAGGCAGGACAAGCCAGCAGCTGATGAACGAAGACCCTGGAGAGGAACAGGCCTAACAGCTCTGGGGAATTCTCGGGGTGTAACCAGGGCATGCTGAAAGCTCCCACCCCCCATGTGAGACAGGCTTTGTATCTGCGCTTGCTGCAGAGAAGGAAGCCCAACCCAGGTGGCCATCCGGGTTCTGCAGGCCGCCAAGTCACCCACACAGCAATTCCCCTAGCCTACACGCTGGGTGATGGGGGGGGGGGGATTTGCTGCTGCAGGTGCTCTGACTGACCCAACAGCAGAGGTGTCCATGGCAGGAAGGGCCGCTGCATGGGGCTGGCAGCAAGCCCAGGGAGAGGATCACCTCACAACCCCGGTGACCCGGCCCAGGCAGACGGGTGGTCAGGTGATGGCCCGGCAGTGGTGAAAGCAACAGGAACTGGACATGTGGGGCTGAGCGTGAGCAGGACTGAGGGCACAGCAGGCTGCCCCGACCCCAAGGCAGCATGACCCGTGGCCACGCACTGGACATCTTTCAGGTGTGGCCTGGAGGAACAGAGGCCAGAAGTGCCCCCTGTGGCAGGCACAGTAGTCCACCAGTCTCCTCTGTGTGGGAAGCTGTGGCCCAGGGCTGGTATGTGGACAGACCCCTGGGCAGCAGCACACAGCCTGGGTGGAGGCAGTGGACACAGGGAAGGCCCACCGGTCATCCGCCCAGGACAAAACGATAGCAAGCCCAACACAGCATCCCGGTGCCAGACTGTGCAGGCGGCCAGGCCCCAGGACGCAGCATCTGGGAACAGGGGAGGAAGCAGGAGCTCTACTTCCCATCCCTCCTGCTGACCCACAGGGGGCTCTGCTGCCCCTCCTCACAGCTCTGGGCCCTAAAGGGTTGGGGGCATGGTCACCACCAAGGCACCCCTTTACCAAAGACTGGGCAAGAAACCTGCTGAGTCACAAACCCTGGCTGCCTGCTGGCCATGTTGGACACCGTGGGTTTGGGGACCAGCAGAGACCCCGCCCTGGCAGGGATAACTGACCCCAACAGTGGAGGCAGGGGGCCCGCTCCATGGGGGGTCGAGAAGCTCATGAGGAACCCAGAGGTCACCCAGAGAAGTGGGGCTCAGCAACCAGGGGTTCAGACTCCTGTGACGAGCCACACCACCGGCAGGCATGGTAGCTAGGGTGGAGGACGCAGCCCTGGAGAAGCCGTGCCCCAGGCAGAGCTGTGGGTGCAAGCGGCGGGCAGTGCGCCCAGTGGATACAGGGGACGAACCTGTTGGCTCCTGCATGATGTGCTTGAACCCACCAAGAGCCCCCTCCCCAAATCACAGACGCCCAAGGCAGCCCACCGTGGTGATGGACCAGGCGGTTACGAATCCTCGCCAGCTTGGCCTGATGTGGGGCAGCTGTGAGGAGCAATTCTCCTCCAGGGGTCCTTGCTGGGCCACCCACTTGAGCTGACCTGACCCTTCCCCCTGCCCAGTCCCACGTTCTCCCAGCTCCCCTCCCAGAAGCTGGTCCTCAACACACATCCTGCACCCCAACCTCCATCTTAGCATCTGCTCCTGAGACCCTGGTCTGTGACAGAATGTCCGGTCCTATTTCCCTCCCCACATGGGTCTTGGTTCAGAAAAGCAGGCCCTGGCTTTGCTCTGCCTCAGCCCAACCTAAATGGCCAGAGAATCTGTTGGTGACCTTCTAGCCACCAAACAGAAACCACAGCAGATGTTTTAGAGGCAGAATGGGAAGAGGTGACTGGGCCCCAGCTGCTGCAGTCAGACCAAACTCAGGACCTGGACGCTCAGTTCTAAACACACTCACAACCAGTAAGCGTCAGGGTGAGCACTCCTGCGCCTCCAGAATCGGGGCAAGCGAACCAGCACTGCCAGTGTTGGGACAGGCCCATCTGTGCCCCCAGTGTTGGGCTGCACCAATTCCACCAGGAGGGGGCTGCCTGAGGCAGAGGCTAGGCCTGTCCACCTCACTGCTGGACCACAGGGCCAGGCACCAGCCGAGCTGAAAGTGACCACACTGTTGGAGTGCCTGGGGGGAAGAGCATCACACTGGGGTCCCAGAAGTGCCCCAAACCTATGTCAGGGAGGAGGCAGCGGCTATAGGCCTCTGAGGACACCCTCCCCTGATGGGTCAGAGGCCACCACAGAAGGCAAGTCCTAAGGCAGAGGAAGGGGGCCCAGCCATGGAGACTCAGGCCCCAGTGGTGAGGCTGAGCATCCCGCAGGCATTGTCCCTTCCCCACATCTGTCTCTCGGCCATCTTTTGTCTTGTCCTGTGGTGATTAGCAGTAAAACCTCTAAGTCAAAAGAAACCAAGTGTGTCCTTGCTCTTCCAAGAAAGACGTGGGACCTGGACTAGGACTAGGGGGAACCTAAAGAACAAAGCTGCTGACGGGAAAGAAACAAAGGGAATCTGCAGCCTTCTGAGGAAGAGGAGGACGGGCGGAGGAGTGTCACCTAGAGAAAAATGGCAGCGCATGGCCGGGGACCATGTGTGGCGACTCTCTTACCTTGTCCCACAGAGACTGCAGCTCTTCTTGGCCCCCTAAGTCCCAGAACATGAGGCGAGCCTTCCCCACGTCCACAGTGCCGACTGGGGAGAGAGAAGGACGGGTGAAGCCGGGGCCCTGGTCTCTGACGCGCCACCTCCCGGCTCCGGGAGAGGGACGAGCCGCTCTGGGGCTCCCGGATTGCGGGGCCCACGGGGGCTGCTGACCATCCGCCTGCTGGCCTGTGGGATCGGCCCCACAACCCACAGCCCTAAGGGACCCCCTTACTGTTCAGACCCACGGTGGTAGTGATCTTGGACAAACTCATCCCCTTGTAGTTCTTGTTAAACCGAGTTTTTGACTGCTCCAGGAACGTCTGAGAAGAGACGGACATACAGTAGATAAGGCCCGGATCCTTCCAAGCCTGTTTCCAAAACATCCCTCCTTGGGTCTTTTCTACAGCAGCAGACGGGGACTGGCCCGCAGCCTTCAACGGGGTTGGGATTCTGTGCGGACATGAAGCATGCAGCGAGGGGCATGGATCCCGAGAGCCCTCGGAGGGGTGGTGACCAGGAACAAGCACCAACCGTCTTGCCGGCATTGTCCAGACCCAGGATCAGAATGCAGTACTCGTCCTTCTGGAACATGTACTTGTACAGGCCCGACAGCAGCGTATACATCCTGCCCTGTGCGCCGGGAGACACGGGTCGTGGGCCGACCCGGCTTCGTGCTCACCCCGGGGGGAGGGGAGGGGGCCCCCATGCCCGCCCCCCCAACTCCTCCCCGGGCTGCCCTCTGCCCGGCTCCCCGCCATCACTCCCACTCCACCCCCGCCCCTCCCCGCGCATCCAGCTTCCCGGAGGCGGAGCAGGTCCCGATCCCCGTCCCGGCCTAGACGTCAGGCTTCCCCGGGCTCGGCGGCGCCCCTGGCCGGGCCCCCCCAGCCCCCCACCCCCAGCAGATGCCCGGCAAACTCCCAACGGGAGCCCCCCGGCGGCTTTCAGAAGCGGGGCTGCGTGGGGATGGCGAGGCGGCGGCCCCGGAGAGGCCGTGCGGCCGGCAGGTGGCGCGGACCGACCACGGCGGGAGGCCGCCC